GGTCTGGGGGGACATTTATATGGCCCCATTGACACAGAGTGGAAATTGGAGGAAAGAGAAATGGAAATAATGAATAATTATTCCTCTCTCTCTTTCTCTCTTTCTTTCTCCAATGAATGATTGGTATCAGCATAAATATATTCCTTAAAGCAGAAGTCAGTTAATTTTTCCTATGGATTTTCATATAATAAATCTTGAATAGGTTTGTAGGTGTTGTGGCCTTGATTACAACTAATCAATGCTGTCACTGAGTTACAAGAGCAGCCACAGACGGTGTGGTACCAGTTTCTGTTCTACTTACCTTCTATTTCTGTGAAAATACACCCTGACCAGAAACAGCCTGAGGAGGAAAGGGTTTATTTGGTTTACATGTCTGAGTCAAAGCCTCCAGGGAAGCTCAGCAGGAACCAGACAGGAGCTGAAGCACAGACCTTGGAGGCCTGTTTACTGGATTGCTCCTGCCGGTGCTCAGCTACTTCTCTCACACAACCCAGGCCCACCTGCCTAGGGTTGGCACTGTCCACAGTGGGCTGGGCCCTTCCACATCCCTGGCAATCAAGCAAATGCCTCGGGGGCTGGAGAGATGGCTCAGTGGTTAAAAACACTGGCTGTTCTTGCAGAAGACCCAGGTTCGAATCCCAGCACCCACATGGCAGCTAAAAACTGTCGGTAACTCCAGTTCCAGGGGATCCAACATCCTCTTCTGTTCCCCACAGGCATTGCATGACACTGGTACATTTATCTACATGCAGGCAATACACGAATACACATAAAATAAATTAATAAATAAAATATTTTTAAAAAGAAAAAGAAAACTCCTCACAAACTTGCCAGCAGGTCAATCTGATAGAAGAAATTCCCCACCTGAGGCTCCCACTTCCCAGGCTGTCGAGATAACAACTGCAGACCCTTCATTCCAAAGATTTTTAATGGTTCGAGGGCATCAGAACAAACAGCCCACAGGCCCTAATTATCCCAGCCCATGATCTAAAGCAACAGTATCATTTATAAAACTGAATGACTTTCAAGTGTAAAAGAAAAGTGAAATAGCCGAGAAACAGATGGAACCGGATAACATCATGTTAAGTGAAATAAGCCAGACTCCAAAAGACAGATATCTCCTGCTTTTCCTCATAGACGAAACAGATTTATATGCACAGGGTGTGAACACAGAAGGGCCACAGTAAGATGATAAAGGGGCTTAAAGGGGGCAGAAGAGGGCAATCGGGGAGGAAAGACAATAGCACACATTTTCTCTCCTATGTAGAGTCTAGGTTTAAATATATGTGTATGGCACGAAAAGAATGCAGACTATTGGGGAGACAAATAGGAGGGAACAGGAGGGACAGGAGTGTTATGGGGAGTAGGTGTGAGCAAGGTATAATGACACTAAGCAGAAAGTGTTAATGAAATATTTTATATTCTAACTGAAATTAATAAAAGGTAAATTTAAAAAGAAAAAAACATAATAACTGGGATAGTTCACATATCTACTATTGTTTTTGGATTGGCTAAAGAATATTCTGAAATATGTTTTTAAAAGTGAAATAAATTTGTATATGCTATTTTGAGTTGATGTCAAATAATATTAAGTTAACTAATAAATTAATATAATTAACATGTTTTACTTTGGAAATAATAATACTTGAGGAGTTTGCATAATAAAAATGTCTGAATGGATATGTTTACTGGGTTGAATAGTGTATCCCCAAAGATTTGAGTCTACCCAGAACTTCAGAATGTGACTATATTTGAAAATAAGGTCTTTACAGATGTAGTGAAGTTAAAGTGAAATAATATTGAAAGGGAGGGAAATAGTCTAAGGACTGATGTCCTTATACGATGGGTATTTGAATATAGACCAATGGAGGAGAGTGCAAAGACACATATGACATAACACAGGCAGAGATGTTTTCAAGGTAAAGAATGGCAGCACTTGCCAGCAACCCTCAGAAGCCAGGACACAAGCAAGAGAAGCTTCAGATGGAACCTGGCCCTGCTGACAACCCAACAGGAGATGTGTGCTCTCCAGAGCAGTAAAAAGGGGAACAATCTGGTGTTTTAAGCAGGCTAGTCTGTGGTGATTGTTACACACACTCTGAGAGGATAATGCTTAAGTTACACTATTTCCATTCATCATCTGGGGGATGTGAACAGTCTACAGGATACATTTTAGTGCTTAGGCTTTATGTTGCACATATTTTTATGATCAGTCAAAAGCTGCTATATTAAGAAAAAAAAGGTGCATATACTCTCTCCCCTAGAAATCCTATTTCTATGTATTTGTTTTTTCAATAATACTTCTTTTGTGCAAAAAGTGAATGAATAGGCAACATATCAGCATGCTTGTGTAGTTCCTATAAAGAACAGAAACCAAGAAATAATCAATATATCAATAGATGACTGTGCAAACAATGTTCACAAACATACGAAGAAGAGTTCTGAAGCTCTGAAAAAATTCAAAATTAAATAAATAAAAGAGTAAAATACATCTTAATGTCAATTGCATTAAAAATGAAGTTTTCTGCATGAAACTATTTTAATAATGAAATGGAGATCTTTTTTAAAGGTTAAAACCTCATTTAATTTTATGTCTTATAGGGTTTATGCTGAGTACAATATTGTATAACTGTAATAATTCAACTGTAAACCTAAAAATGTACAGCCAATTTTGAAAGAGATGCAGCCTAGCTCAGAAAATTGTTATTGAATATGTCAATGCTGATGTAATGAAATGCTTCTTCTAAGTATGTGGTTATTAAATAAATAATTTTTTAAAGATTAAAATATATGTGCTGATATGGAATAGTCATAAAGGGATATTTCTAAATAATAATAACATTATTCATTGTACATCATTTTTTCAGTATATTTAAAGTTGACTATCTCATGTTAAAAATATGCTTTTCTTAGTTTCACATTTAGTCATTTACTAATAATTAACATATTCTGCCGCCAAGCTCATAGCAATCCCAAAGCTCCAGAGTCTGTGCAGACCTCAGTGCCCCAGCTCCAGTTTTTAGAATTTCAGGTCACCCCAAACAACAAGGTCCAGTTATATTAAAGTGGCAAGAATGTTGTAACGACTTGTATTATTAGAAATTAAAATACCTTAAAAACATTTTAAAAATGAGTTGGTTTTAACACTAATAGTATATTTGAGCAAATGGCAAACAATTCAAATAAAATGAAATGGAAGGAAACTATACAAACTACAATATTTTCATATATTATTTCTCCAACAATTACTCAAGCTTTCTCTGTTTAAATTCTAGGGTATTTCAGTAATCCAACGTGGAACTGCCCAGAAGCCAGACTGCTTTTGAGATAGCTCTGCTGCATTGTAACTGATATCAGCAGCCCACAATTAACATCAGAATCTTCAAACTTCCAATGAGTGTTTTTTCTAAAATCCCAGGACAATAAGTCGGGCTGACCTCCCCATTCTTTTAGGTTATTTACTTGTTTTAATTTTAAAATATTCAGTTATGTCCTCTATCCTGTTAATATTTTAGAAAGAAATTTATGTTTTTTCACAGACATAAATATATATACAGAGAGCAAGAATGACTCTTCTAACACACTTGACTGTCTTGTGAAATGCATATATTTCTTTAATAATAATATAAATGGAAAGAAAAATGATAATGGCGACAACATTCTTCTTAAGTTCTGCATGAAAAATAAGACTTAGAAAGATATAGATTGAAAACTATGCCATCTATAGAAGCTCTTTTCTTTCTAGAATTTTTGTCTTTTCTAAAGAACACCTACAGTTTCATGTATTAGCTACAGCTAATTACTGATTTTCTTAACAAAGATAGATTATTTTTGTACTAACACTTGGAAACTTGCTTAGAAATTTCTGTGGCGTGAACCCACAGGGTGAATCTTCTAGACTCAAAGTAAATCTTAGGTTTGTGTTCGGTCACATGGGTTTTTCTATCAGACAACACTTATGTAAGATTTCATAGTAATTTGCAGTGTGAAACTGACTTTCATAGCCATGGCTCTCAAGTCATTCCCAGCTCCGTCTCTTCACAAGAGATTCTTCTTAGCTGTCGGAGTTAATTGAGACAAGCAGGAGTGTCGGCTCTAGCTTTTGCAACTATAAAATTAAAATGCATGTCAACCTTTTCATCCTAAGAATTTCCCATTATTTTTCCTTTTCCTTTGAAGTTTCTCTGAAGTTCGGAGACAGTTTCCTTTATTTATTCTGTAGGCTTGAAAGGAAGGAATAAGTCCTGTTGTCCGAAAGTTAGACTTCTGCCTAGAGATAAACTATGACTCTAAATTCATCTTTGAACTTCCCTGTCCCTTATTGACTGCCTCCCACCCTTCTCTTGATCACACAAACACAAATATACACCCACAAAACTGTATTCAGCTTGGTTGTACATGCCTTGGCAAAGTGTGCATTTTTAAAAAAATTTTTATTTATAACTTTTATGTTATGTGTATGCCTGTATTGCATGCATGTAGGTAAGTGCACCCGTGTCATGCAATGCCTGCAGAGGACGGAAGAGGCTATCGGATCCCCCGGAACTGGAGTTACAGGCAGTTGTTAGCTGCCATGTGGGTGCTGGGATTCGAGTCCAGGTCTTCTGCAAGAACAAGCAGTGTTCTTAACTGCTGAGCCATCCCTCTAGCCCCGCAAAGTGTGTATTATAATATTTAACCAGTCATTGATAGTGGGCAAATTGTTTGTTCTATGTCACTCTGTATGAAACACTCCGCACTCTCTTACATGAGTTATGTGGATGGTGGTGTTCAAAGTGCTTTTACATTTGTCCAACATTCTGTTAGATATGAAGAATAGGTATTATTTTATTTTACAGGGGGTAATTGCCTTGCTTTTGAGTTACTGAGACCAAAAGTCTTCCTGGGTCTTAGCCTTTCTGTCCAAGAATGAACATTGTGGTTGCTAATCTGCCAGTATGATATATTTCTTCCACTAGTCCCTTCCCCTCAAACTGATTTCACTTACCATTGTTAGATTATCAAACAAGTTTCTGGCTATGGGCAAAAATTATGGACTCCTTCGTCCAGCACAAATATTTGGTCACTTTGTCCCGAAACTCCTTGGTTTTTACTCCATAAATAATAGGATTGAGCATTGGAGGCACAAGGAAGTAGAGGTTACCAAGAATGGTGTGAACATGGGGTGGGATGCCTCGGCCAAAGCGGTGAGTCAGAAAAGAGAAGAGCGAGGGGGTGTAAGAAACTAGCATGACACAGATATGTGTGGTGCATGTGTTGACTGCTTTGTGGTGAGCTTCCTTAGAAGAGAGATGCATGATAGCCCGGATGATCAACACATAAGATGAAGCAATAGCTGAGATGTCCAGCCCAACCACCAGCAGGGCCACCACCAGACCATATATGCGGTTGACTGTGGTGTCCACACATACCATCTTCACCACAGCCATGTGCTCACAGTAGGTGGTGGGGATGACATGACTAGCATGAAAGGGCATGCGCTGGAGAAGGATGGGCATGGGGAGAATAAAGAGGACAGCTCGTACCAGGCTCACGAGGCCAATGATCTCAATACGACTATTAGACAGGGTGGTGGCATAATGCAGAGGCTTGCAGATGGCCACGTAGCGGTCAAAGGCCATGGTCATCAGGATAGATGACTGCATGGTTGAGATGGAGTGGATGAAGAACAGCTGGACCAGACAGCCTTCGTAGCTGATCTTGCTCTGGCCAAACCAGAATATGCACAGCACTTTAGGAATGGTGGTTGTAGACATGCCCAAGTCTGTGAGGGCCAACATGAAGAGGAGCAGGAACATGGGCTTGTGCAGGGAGCGCTCCGTGGAGATGGTGAAGAGGATGGTGCTGTTGTCAATCACAGTGATGAAGTACATGGAGGAGAAGGGGATAGACATCCATCTGTGCTTGTCCTCCATCCCAGGGATGCCTTGGAGAATGAAGAAAGAGGGGTGGCCTGTCCCATTGCAAGTCATTGTAGAGGCACCCTGGTGAGGCACCAGAGGAGAGCAACAGAGAAACTCCTCAGCTTCAATTCTAAGAACATATCAAGTTTAAGAAGGAAAAAATCAGAATATTTAAATGCATAACACAATCTGAAATAACAGTGGAGGTTACACAGTATTACAGTGTACTACAATATTGCAATAGTAATATAGTGTTAATACAGCAACATCAGTATCTGAGAGAATATATGTTGTGAGAAATGCTTTTGTTAAAGAAAACTGATTGAGGATCCATTATTAAAGTGTTATTAAATTACGTGACTATACTATGAAACATGCCTTCGCTAAAAACTCATAGCCTGAAGCCTTATCAGATAATAAAAAACAATGCAAACCATCAGAAAAAAAAGATCAACAAAAGAATTTTTAATTAACAAAAATGTTCACATGAAATCCTGGGTTTGAAATTTAAATGACATCCATTTTATCAGGTGTAGGATCTCAGGGAGTGGGGAACTTCTTAGGAGAATTTGGCAATGATGATGGAGACTGAAGCATGCAGTGGAGCACCAAACAGATGACATAGCAAACAGGCCAGCACAGGCGGTTGTGAAGGTGAGGCTACCCTCCCCTGGAACACTTACCTGAGTGAGAGGCAGTGAGAGCCTGGGCGCCTGGTCTCAGATGCCTTCTGCAAACGTGTTGGCATGAGTGTGCACATGGGCATGTAGGTGTATTTTAGTAAACACCTGTACCGATAAGCATGCTCATGGCTCTGCATCTCTCCACTCTCCTCTCCAGCACCAAGATCCAGTTTTGGCAGCCTCTTTAAGCTACCTGAGAAAAGGCCCCGAAGGTATTCCAAATTAGTTCTTTGACAGTCCCACCTGACAACACACACACAGACACACACACGCACACATACAGAGGGCATCACTGCTATTATGTGTAAAATTGACCCTGGGGATTTGACTTAGCTCCCAGAAGATCAGGCTGATTGATTTTAGAGATTCTGGGAGTACTCAGTTTTTGCTTGAAGAAAGAGAACAAATTTAGAGATGAATCAATGGACAAATAGTTGAAGAAGCCTTGGGAAGAGTCATTCATACATTTGTATTTATGAATATTTTTAGTCTCAAGGAAGAAAATTCCAAAATGGGCTGCTACACAGGCAGACTTGGTGGAGATTATGCTAAGCAAAATGAGCCAAATACAGAAAGAAAAGTATTTCATGATCTTATGTGCAGAATTTTTTTTAAAAAGTTCAAATATAAAATGGTGCCTCCTGTGGAGCCAGGTGGAGGGAGGAAACGGGGACAGTAGGTAAAATGTTACAGGTAGCAAATGCATATGGTAACAGATACAAAGATTCCATGCCCACAGGCAGAGGACTAGGTAGGAGCTGTGTTCGCTGGTCAAAGTTTTCCCCAAATAAATAGACTCTAGCTTCTCTTGGCACTGTGAAGGAACAGGGATGATTAAGATGATGGCTGTCTCCATTTGCTTCATTATATTTTTGTGGCAAAAAGTCATGAAAATTTAGCAGAGGCTGGACTTTGAGAGACAACTTCTGAAAGTCCTACCTACAGATCTTGTAGAAAGACTTCAGTGACCAGGCACATCAGCAAGAGGGCAGAAAGCACAGAGAAAAGTAAATGACTAATTGGATGGCCTGTAACATCCACAGAAAGGCTCACCAGCAGTGAGCAGTACAGCTGTACTAGATGCTAAACGCATACACACTCCCTGTTCTGTAAAAGCTATAATTTTCTGAGCAGAAAGTCATGGTTCTAGGAACATGCAGAAATTCTGGCTTCTGTCATCTCTCTCCTGTTTGTCTCAAGCTGGTCCTAACATGTGACAGTGGCACATAGGTGATAGTATCAAACTTTCCCTCTTTTACATGTATTGACCTATCACATCCCAGAATACAACTTCTTAAATAGACTTTTCTTGCAGAATATTTGTCAGTACTCTAATATAAACCCTATACTATAGGTCAGAGGACTCTTGCCTCTCAGAAAAACACATTAACTTCATCTTTTGGATTATCATACCAATGGGATAAAAGTCCAAATCTGTATTCCAAATTACTCATGCCATGCTTGGCACATAACAGGTATAATGAACATCTAATAAATTAATAAACAGGTGAATAGGTAAAAAAAATAAATTACTTTATAAATAAAGAAGTATCCTATTTTGTAAGATTTTATTAATTTTTGTTTCATTGTATACCTAAAAATTTTAAGCACAACTTGTATGAAGATTATTCCTTCTTTTTAAAAATTTTTATTTATTATTTTTGCTTTATGTGTATACATGCATTGCCTACATGTAGGTAAGTGCATGTGTGTCTTACAATGCCTGCAGAGGTCAGAAGAGGCTGTCAGATCCCCTGGGACTGGAGCTACAGACAGTTGTTAGCTGCCATGTAGGTGCTGGGATTCGAACCTGGGTCTTCTGCAAGAACAACAAGTGTTCTTAACCGCTGAGCCATCTCTCCAGCCCCAGATTATTCCTTCTTAAATGAATTTATAAAACTCAGTGCAAAGAAAAGAAAAAAGGCCCAGTGATTTGTGCCGGATAAAAAGTTAAGAAAATGGTAATAAAATTCTATTAAAAGAACAAATATTTGAAGATAATCATAAAACAAAGTAGTGCCTAATCTATTTGAAATGAAAATTTATGATAAAAGTTTTCATCACCAAATAATGATGCTATTGGGCAGAAATAAACAGATGATTTAAATAAAATAGTATCAATACATTTGACCATATACATATATATAATGTATTATATAATAGAGATAATACAACAGTATCGTAGGAAATGTATAGGTAATGTAATTATAAGGATAAATTAATCTGTATTTATGTGTAATATTACTCATTGTGTTTTCATGTCTACAAAGGCCAAATCAACTTTACTTTCATTTCTTAGTTTCTTTCTTCACAGTTATCTAGTTATCAGGTAAAATATG